ATTAGAAAAGCGTTGAAAGAGTAAAAAGTCTGTTCAATCTTGGCTCTGGATGTAGCGCAAGTTTTTGATAGATTTTTGAAGATCTCATTTATAAATTAAAAAGAGTATTTCCAACTTCTAGTATCTCAACTACTAGTACCCAACCTATTAAATAGATTATCAAACAAGAGATGCGTAATTAGAACCAGAAGGGTGCTACAAGGAACTTTACCTTTTATACACCAATGATATCCCTTACTTTGCGCGGATGACGAAGCTGTATTTTAAACTGAACACAAACAAGAAGCTGCACAGAATATGCAAATTTTTCTTCTTCTTTGGGTGCCGTCTTCAATGAAGGTTGGCGATAACCTCAGCAAAATCATTTCTGTCCCTGGCTTTTCTTATTAAAGATTGAGAATCCAAACCAGTCCACTCACGAATGTTCTTCAACCAGGACGCCTGCCGTCTACCAGGACCACGTTTTCCTTCTATCTTCCTCTCTATAAGAAGCTGCAGTAGCTGGTATTTCTCATTTCTGTATATGTGTCCCAAATATGAGGTTTTCCGTGTTTTCATTATTTTTAAGAGTTCTCTGTCGGTACCCATCTTGTGTAGGACCTGCTCGTTGCTCATATGCGCTGTCCAGGGGACTTTCAGCATCCTTCGAAATAACCACATTTCAAAACTTTCCAAACGCCTGAGTGAGTTGATTTTGAAGGTCCAGGCCTCCATTCCACATAGTAAGGTGCTGTAAACGTAACATTTCAGCATTCGGTATCGGATTTTGAGATTGAGTGTTTGGGACGTAAACATTTGTTTCATTTTTAAAAAGACATTTCTTGCTTGTTCAATTCGCGATTTTATTTCTATGTCTGGATCTATATCTTTCGTTATCCAGCACCCTAGATATCGAAATTTCTCGACATTTTCGATAATGTTACCATTCACGTTTAAAGCCATGGATGGATGTTTTGGAGACAATCATTGTTTTTGTTTTCTTGACGTTAATGCTGAGGCTTTATTGTTCTCCGATCGATCTGACGCGATCTAAAAGTGTCTGGAGATCCTGTGCGCTCTCTGCAATTAGGACCGTGTAGTCGGAGTATCGTACATTATTTAGAACTCTGCCGTTAATTTTAACACCTTCTCTTGATTGCTCTAGTGCTCGTGCAAAGATTTCTTCCGAATATATATATATATATATATATATATATATATATATATATATATATATATATATATATATTATATATATATATATATATATATATATATCTATATTGAAAAGTAGTGGTGACAATACACACCCCTGTCGTACACCTCGCTTGATATTGAATATTTCTGTGTCACCGGCTTCTGTTCTAACTGCTGCAGTTTGGTTAAAATACAGCGTTTGGATAATTTTAAAATCGTTCTCGTCTAGTCCCTTTTTGTGAAGGCAATCCATCAGCTTATCATGTTTTTCTTTGTCGAAGGCCTTTTGATAGTCAATAAAACATAAAAAGAGGTCCTTTTTTTGGTCTCGACATTTTTGCAGCAGTATAATAAAACTGGTTAATGCTTCCCGTGTCCCAAATCCATTTCGGAAGCCAAATTGTTCATCACTGATATCCTGTTCACATTTCTTATAAATGCGTTGGTGAATAACTTTCAAGAATAACTTTAACATATGCGACATTAAACTAATAAGTCTGAAATCACCACACTTCTTTGCTCCCTTAGTTTTTGGAAGGGGAATAAAGACTGATTTTAACCAGTCTTGTGGAATTTCACCGCTTGTATATATTTGATTAAATAATTTGACGATTATGTTTAAAAATGTTTCTCTTCCAGTAGCTTTATGACTTCCGTATGTATGTCATCGGGGCCAGAGGCTTTCCCATTTTTTGCGTTTTTGATTGCTCTCTCTACTTCTTGTTTTAATATAGGAGGACTGGTTTCATGGTTTTTATATATTATGTTGTTTAGTGGTGTGTCCGAGAATAGTTCTTCTATGTAATGTCCCCATACGTTGTTTAGATCGCTTAATTCCCATATCGTTTCATTCTCGTCGTTTGTTAATCTACAAGGGAGTCTTTGTTTTGTCATTCCAGCTAGATCTTTTATTTTTTTGTGAAGCGTTTGACTGTCGTGTTTCTTTATTAATTCTTCGATCAATTTTTGCAATTGCAAAGTAGTGCAATTTTTAGTAGATAAAATAAAAAATTGAATAAAAATAAAGAATAAAGCTAAATAGAACAAAATCGACTGATGTAAACAAAAGAGAACGATATCTACGTATTAGAATAGATGAAATACAGGTACCTCAGGTTGCCAAAGTGGAATAAATATTTTTTATTAATGTTATAAATTACCACGGAGATTAATCTTTGCAATAGTATTTTTTTTAATAAATAATACCTAGTAGTGGATTTGTTTACAACATTTTGATACCAACAAGCGATATATTGCAGTAATATTAAACAATACCACGATACGTGCGCTATACACTCTTATTTTTTATAATTTGAGAAATCAGTGGCCAGTTGATTGAATCACCTTAATAGAAAGTTGTTTATTATTAAAATTTACAGGTAGTTTCTACATAATAATAAAAATCAAAATAATAAGATCACTTTCATCATCTTTGTGGACCACAGACCTTAGTGGACCTTGACCTTCTATTTTTGCTACTAAAACTAAATACTTCGTTCAGACTAACCGCTTCGCAGATGTTATCTTTTCTGTATAATGTAAATAAAGTTGATTCATGAGATTAGGACAACATCTACACTTTCAATCATGTCAGCGATTATCTGATATTAAAGTGGTGGTAGTTCGTTAAAACCTGAGGCTGCTGCCAGTAATTTGGTGTTAAGTTAATGAGGAATTAATATTTCTCTACTAATTATCTATAAAAATATCACTTGTTTCATCAGGGGATATTCAGACCATTCGGTAAATAAACATGGTTTGTTAGATCTCTTATGGAATACTAATTTAAATTTTCTGCCGAAACGGAGGTCATCTGCAGCAACAAAGGTATACATTCTAAGATATACAGGTTGGGGAACACTACAACAAGATCACATTAATGAACCCAATTAAAATTATGAATTGATCTGTTTATGATTATTGTTTGATCTGTTTTTTATTTATTTGTTCAGTTGGTAGTTTTTAAAGTTTTTAGGTCTCGTTCCACTTGTGCAATTAATCTTTCCTTTCACTTTTTATGACTGGTGTCTATCTTATTATATTCTGCATCTGTTTAACATGGATCATCCACCGTACTTTGAGTACTTCTTTTACTTTGATAAACAGTTGTGTTGAAAAGGATATTCTTTCAGTTGTGTTAAAAATTTTTGCTTGTTGTTTTAATACGCACTCTTATAATGAACGAAATGACGGTGAGTGTTTATATTAAGGAAGAATACAGGGTAGAAGGAGTCGGAGAAGAAGACGAATCTCCTTGTTAAACAAATTTGAGAGCTTGGTTTAACTGCACTTCTGCTGACCTCTTTAGAGCAGCGGTATCGGAAGTGCGAATTCCTATGATGGTTGCCAACCTTCTTAGAGGAGGTGGCACATGAAGAAGAAGTCTGTATTAAATTCGCTAGTTTTTTCTAGAATCTGCCTGAATACCAAGATCTAGGCTATTGTGGTCTTGTTCCTACGCAAACCTCACTTTTTCAACTATTTATTGTGGGGCTTCCACAGGGCCAACATCGATTCGGACCATATGCTAGTGATTACAAAATGTAAAATAAAGAAAGAAATAATTGGTTTGGGGATCAGTACAAATACAAAGATCAAAGGTAAAAAGCAAAGAATTTGTTGGAATCAAAAAAAAATCAAAAAGTAGAAAAAATTATGAACGAGATAGAAACAGAAAATAAAAGACACAATTCAAAACCATTAGATCAATACTTAACAACTAATATAACTCCTGGCGGTCATTGCATCGTCCACATCGTCTCTCCAGGATCGTCTTGATCTACCTTGTTTTCTTCTAGTTGGCTGAGTCCATTCTTCTATTTTTTTGGCCATCGATTTTCCGGCATTCTCTGAAGGTGTCCATACCAGTTAAGTCTTTTGGCTTCGATTGTGTCTATTATGTCTAGATCGATTTCCATTTCTCTCCGAATAGCTTCGCTTTCTCACCCTATCTCCAGTAGTTTATTTCCATGGCCTTACTTTTTGATTGTTTCTTTGGTTTATTCCCAGAGTTCGGCGCCGTACAGTCCAATACTTTCTATTATTGTTTTATAAATTCTTCTTTTATTTTCTTTTGTTATTTTTTTATTCCATAATAGTCCGTGTAGCTGTCTGGTGGCTGATCTTGCTTGGCCAATCCTGGAATGTATTTCTTCGCTACTTCCTGTTTTGATGTTATTTGGACTCCCAAGTACTTGAAATTGTCTGTTGGTTTTATAGTTCCATTTCGATTTGTAGCTTTCTGGTTTTTCTCCTACAACTAAGTACTCAGTTTTTTGTAATTAATTGTGAGGCCCCATTTGGTGTACTCATCTTCCAGTTTCTAAGCATGTAGCTTATATCACTCTCGTCTTCAGCTAGAATGGCTTGGTCGTCAGCGAAGTGTTTCGTGTACAATCTATCCATCTCCGATTGGGATGCCCATATTGCAGCACTTTCTTCTCCGTAGTGAGAGTGTCTCATTTAGATATATTTTAAAGAGTGTAGGTGCTATGCAGCAGCCTTGCTTTAGGCCCTTACTAATAGGAATTTTTTCTAGTTAATCTATTTCCAGTTTTAATGTTTGCCATCATATTTTTGTAGTGCTGTTGTACTGCTTGTATTATTTTTTTGCTTATTCTTGTTTTCATTGCTACCCAAGCATTGAAGTGGTACACTATCGTATGCCTTTGTCAGATCTATAAAGACTATATGAGTTGAAAGGTTGTGGGCTAATCTTTTCTCGATAACTTGCTTTAGAGAGAAACATAAATATATTAACATTTATTAATATTTTATTATGGTGTTTAAAATTTTGATTATTATTTATTTCAGATGAGGACACGATGATTATTCGTTGGAAACTGGTGTTTGGATTTTTACTTGTATTCCTACTTCACTGGCTAGTAGATGCTAAGAAAGGTAAGACATTCAATAAACTGATATAATAATAATGACTTTTCTTTTCAGTCTTAGACTCTCCTAACTCAACAAAATATTTTTTTAAGTGATACATGGTTGAATGCTCGAATAAATAAACTTTAATCAAATAAAATCAAATCCTTTCTACACAACCAAAAACTTATTGCCGTATTTTTTGACATAAGAAAAGCGTTTGACACAACATGGAGACATCTTATACTAAAAACACTTCAAGAATAAGATGTTCAAAGGCACATGTTGTCCTTTATTAAAAATTTTCTAGAGACACGAAGTTTTTGAGTTAGAACCAATGGATTTACATCTTCCAGACGAGTACTTCAAAACAGCACTCCACAAGGATCTACTCTAAGTCCTACTCTCTTTCTAATTGCAATAAATAGTATCATACATCAAATAAAACTACTTGTAGTTACTAGCCTATATGCAGATGACTTAGTAATTTATCTAAAAACGAACTATGTAACTCTGGGAACACATATACTGAAAACTACCCTTCACACAATTGAAAGCTGGTCGCAAAACACGGGTTTTATATTTTCTAGTGAAAAGACACGTTATTTAATTTTAAGCAAAAGAAAACATTATCCTAATGTTTAATTAACACTAAATGGAGTTGTCTTGAAACAAGCAGAAGAAATAAATTTCTTACGACTTTCTTTTGAACGTAACTTAAACTGGGAAACTCACAAATTGACTGGGAAACAACTGGGAAACTGAATTAATCTACTAAAAATGCTGTCAAATACCTCTTGGAGGGCAGATACAACAACCTTACTTACTCTATACAGATTACTAATACGAAGTAAACTAGACTACGGTTGTTTATGCTACGGTACTGCTAACAAAACATCTTTAAAAAACCTTGACTACATTCAAGATCACATTCATTGAGATTAGTTTTAGGTGCCACAAGAACTAGCCCAGTAAGTAGCTTACAAGCTCTGGCTAAGAAACTGCCCTTAAGCCAACGAAGGCAACTCCTATCACTAAATTACGTTGCCAGAATGTCATCAAACAACAGGCACGTAACCTACTCAACAACACTTTGCAGAACAAATATATCGTCCGATCTTTACAGAAACATTGCAATAAAAAAACTACCATTTCCTGAACGAATAAAACTTATTGGTCTTAATTTAGAACAGTTCAGTCTTACTATGCCTATTCACGTTGATTCAAGATGTTCCTCCTTGGATGATCAAATCTCCAAAAATAGACACGTCTCTAAAATAACTTCCGACAACCCATCAACAACCCATCAAATCTTCACTTATGTCACTAATGCTTCCAAATGTGATGAAGGACATGCTGTAGCCTACATCTACAAAAACGTCAAGTCTACCATACGAATCCCAACAAATTGTTGTATATATACCGGAGAACTTACGGCAATTCACCAGGCCATGAAAAAATGTGGTTCTATCAATGAAAGCAAATTCGTTATCATCACCGATTCAATGAGCGCATTACTTGGAATAAAACAGCTATATACAACTCAGGCCATACTGCTCACGATCCAAGAAGAGTTATCTTATCTACAGACTCAACAAAAAGATATTTCCTTCATCTGGGTACCTTCCCATATGGGAATAAGTGGTACTTGGACTGATCACAAAGTAAATATCAAAGCCCTCATCTACAGAGCGTGGCAAACTACTTGGGATCACACTGACAACAAACTCAAAGAATGTCTAAGTCAAGTAGGAACTCATCTTACCAAGTAATAAAAAAGACCAAGTCATACACACTTTCCTTACCCACAAGCTTATCTTCAACCAAGAGGCTGCTCCGATGTGTAGCAAGTGCAACACTCAAGTCAGTGAAACATATAATTAAGAATATAATAAAGAATCGCGTGTGCCTTTAGTGACAATTTAGAAAGTGTACTTACGTCAAATTTACAGTCTTTATTAAGGTATATGACTAAACTAAATACCAGATTGTAAAAAATATTTTATTTTTTATAATTTTATAATTAAATATTTTTATTTTAATACAATAAAAAAAGGCAAGAAATAGTCCTGCTAGGGGACCTGAACGGAAGAGTAGGTAAAGCTCTTGACAACAAAATAATTGGACAACACGGAGAAGATGTAGTAAATGAGAACGGAACAAGATGGTTGGAGGTATGCGAACAACATTCGTTAAAAATACTGAATAGATTTTACAAACATAGAGACATAAATAAATATACATGGACTCAAAAGACAAGAAAACTGCAGTCAATTATAGACTATATAGTAGTTAAACAAGAGACATCTTTAAGATCCTACGATGTAAAAGTTTGGAGAGGGGCAGAATGTGGATCGGATCACCTATAAGTAAAGGCACCCGTGGAAATAAGATATATTAAACAAAATAAATCCCAAGAACAGACAAACAAAGAATCCACACGGCTCTATAACATAGACAGCTTAAAAAATGAGTCCACAAGTTTTCTTTATAAAATACGTTTGGCACAAAAATTAGACGAAGAAATAAACGGAACAGCGGAAGAAATGTATGAGACTTTGAAAATCAAAATTCATGAAGCAGCATTAGAAGCTCTAGGTACGAAAGAAAAAGTAAAACGTAGAAATTATTGGTGGACAGAAGGTTTATTAGAACTGGTAGGAGAAAAGAAAAAACTGTATCTCAAATGGTTAGCGACAAAAGATAAGGAAGACCGAAAGAACTATAACAGATACAAATATATAGTAAAAAAGCAAATTAAAAAAACAAAAAACATAACCTGGGACAACAAGTGTGCAGAAATAAGCTCAATGGTAGGTTCTAGGTTCAGACAAGCTTGGAAAACTATCAACAGTCTTAGAAAAAATACAAACGAAACAAAAAAAAATAAACCCCATAGACATAGACAGATGGAAAAATTATTATGAAAATCTATTAAATGAACAACGTACACAGTTTCTAGACACACAGATAGATAGAGTTGAAACGGGGTTAAATGAAGTGGCGATGATTACCGTAGAAGAAATAAAAAACGCATTACAAAAAATGAAAAAAATAATGCTCCTGGGCCGGGTGATTTACCTATCGAGTTATTAAAACATGCCACTGCAATAACATTAGAATTGCTTTGTAAAATGTTTAACAAGTGCCTACAAGGAGAAAGTATCCCAAGAGATTGGAAAGTCTCGTACATAAACTCCATCTACAAAAAGGGAAACAGGAATGACTGCAGTAATTACCGAGGTATCAGCATTACGTCATCGACTGGCAAACTGTATGAAAGAGTTCTGAAAGCCAGAATAGAAAAAGAAGCAACAGAGATCGAAGAACAAAGTGGATTCCGACCAAGGAGATCTTGTGTCGACAATGTATTTACTCTCAAACATCTAACGGAAAAGAGATTAGCAAGAGGACTAGAACTCCATGCCACTTTTATAGATCTCCGTAAAGCGTTTGACTTTGTACCACTGCAGAGACTATGGACAACATTGGAAAACGCAGGTATAAATGCAGTATATATAAATGCCGTGAAAAAGCTATATCAAGATAACCAAGCTTATATTAAGGTTGGAAATCAAATTTCCAAGAGTTTCACCCAAACAAAGGGTGTCAAACAGGGCTCTTGCCTTTCCCCAACCCTATTTAAAATATATCTTGGTAATGCTTTAAAATATTGGATGAGAAAATGCAGCCCAATGGGCATATGGGTAAATGACACTCCTATATACACAATCCTCTTCGCAGACGACCAGGTAGTTCTTGCCGAGGACCTACAAGATATGACGTACATAATAAACAATCTAATAGACGAATTCAAAAAATGGGGATTAGAGGTTAATACCGAAAAGACACAATACATGAATATAGGAGGCATCGGTCAAGAGATGGAAACAGAAAGCGGATTAATTAAAAACGTTGATCAGTACGAATATCTCGGAGTTACACTAAGCGAAGACGGGAGAGACGACAAAGATATAACAAGAAAAATTGGAAAAGGAAAAAACATGATAAAAACACTACATCCGATCCTGTGGAATAAAACTTTAACTAAGAAAACAAAGAAAAATATATATCAGGCTATGATTCAGCCGGTGCTGACGTATGGGTCAGAAGTGTGGATCTTTAACAAGAATATGTCACAAAAACTCCTCTCAACGGAAATGATGTACTGGAGAAGATGTTCCAGGTTAACTTTGTTTGACCACATAAGAAATGAAAACATAAGAGAGAGAATGAAAGTAAAGAACACAATAATGGATACGATAGCCGAAAAACAATTAAAATGGTATGGACACCTGAGACGGATGAACGAAGAAAGGATACCACGAAAGGTTTGGAACTGGAGACCTACACAGAGAAATAAAAGGGGAAGGCCAAGAAAGAAATGGATATCCAATACTCATATAGAAATGGAAAATAGAGGTCTTCAAGAAGGAGACTGGGCCGATAAGAAATTATGGCGATTGGGATGCGAGAATCGACAAAATTAAAGTTGCAAACACTCGCTACATATATATATATATATATATATATATATATATATATATATATATATAAATTTTTTTTTTATGTACCAATATGTATCTTACTGTTTGTGTATGTCCCCCCGCTAATAACCCTTAGTGGTTGATGCTGGTATATTTGTTTAAATAAAAAAAATAAGAGAGGTTTAGCAGAACATATTTCTGTGAAAAAATTATATTAAATATGCAGACCCTGTCGCTATGTGTAATTTAGTTTATATAAGTTGAAGATTTAGATAAATTTTTGTTCGATAGAATATTTAGTTATTAGGGATCATATTGTCTGCGTCTTATAATAAAAAACGAAAATACACTATCATTAAACAAGTAAATCTATTTACAGCTCACTTCAAAGAGATAATTGATGATTTTCAGACGTATTAATCCTGATAATAACTATTATTATTCTACAGTTGGTGATTGCGCTGTGCAATTACATGTCAAAAGAGTATGAAATTAAACGTAAAATAAATAATTGCCATCGACTAAGAACTGATGAACTTG